TTTTTATTTTTATTTTTTTGCTGGGGTATATGAAGGATAAGAATGTGTGACTCAACAAAACTCGGGCTTAATGGAATTCTACGAATTCTGTCGCAGAGCTCATTCTGCCTCACGTTTCTATTGCAAGCTGTTTGTGTGTGGGTTATTTTCCTCTTCTTTTCACATGAAACTCAATGTGAAAAGAGTTCCAGGGGTACTTTTCCAAAGACATGCCTCATTTGTGCCTGTCTTTGAACTGTACGCGTGTCAGCGAGGGGTTTCAGCTTTTCATTGTTACCCACTTTGAACACTGTTAGTTCAAACTCCCTCAGTCTGCTGCATTGAGTCATAACTCACAGTATCCTTCCTGGTGGCTCCAGATCCTAGCTTTGAGGTAGGAGGTCTGCTTCTAACCTTGGATAAATCTGAATTATCCTCTTGTCCCTCAGTTGCTCCCTACGGACCATAGGATTATCCCCCAAATCACACACGCTAGAGGTTTTACTGTATCAGAGAGTTGCCCCAAACCAAAGTCTTTCCATCAAAAGTGGGTGGAATACACATGGACGGAGCCTGAGCCTAAATTGCTCAGACCGATGCATGTGGTTTCCAGGTGGTGATTCTTATGTGACAATGTACTTCTTTGCTGTCATGTGCCATCAAGTCATCTCCAACTGATGGCAACCCTATGGAGAAAAGCCCTCCAAAGTGTTCCAACCATGACAGCCGAGCTCTGCTCTAGTAAATTCCAAGCTGGGCTTCCTTGATGGAGTCCACCATCTCTTATTTCATCTTCTCTTCTTCTGCCTTCAACTTTCCCTTGCATGATTGTCATTGTCATGAGAAGTTTTGCCCTCTCCTGATACACAATCTTTTTAGAGAGTTGACTCCTGCGAGTCCCTTGGACTGAAAGATGATCAAACCAGTCAGTCCTAGAGGAGATCAACCCTGGCTTCTCTTTAGAAGGCCAGATCCTGAAGATGAAAATCGAATACTTTGGCCACCTACTGAGAAGGAAGGACTCCCTGGAGAAGAGCCTAATGCTGGGAACAATAGATGGCAAAAGAAGGAGGGGACGGCAGAGGATGAGGTGGCTAGATGGAGTCACTGAAGCAGTTGGTGTGAGCTTGAGTGGACTCTTGGGGACAGGAAGGCCTGGAGGAATGTTGTCCATGGGGTCGTGATGGGTCAGACATGACTTCGCGACTAGCAACAACAAAATCACATGCTGACTCTTCTCAGCAGTATCTTTTGTCTCCAAGCACTGATAATAGTGGGAAAGGATCCTCCTCTAAATAGGGTTTCATCTCATGGATGTGTCATCTGACTGCCCTTGGGGTTGTCTGTTCAGCTGGCTTCCACTGATACTCACACTGCTACTTGTGGTTCAATGCAAGCATGGAGGGTGGAACATTGAATCCATGCAGTACAGTGGACAAAGGTGGTGCCGGGGGGGGGGGGGGGAAGCTGGGGAAAGTATGCTCTGGCTTGTACATTTATTAGGCTGATGGTCAGATTTCCAGGATGGAGATGTGACTGCTCACCACTTTCCTCCCTACAGATTGTATTATGTGAATGATGCACACGGGGGCCCAATGGTCACAACTCTTCCATCCGGTATTGAGAAAAGACTGCCCAAGTTAGGCTTGTGCTTTAGGGATGGGCATTTAATGAAGACTGCATTTCAGTGGAAGGCCTCTGAAGTAGTCCAGGTAGAACCAGGCCATCTAGGTCAACCAGTGGTCTCTTGCAGATGTTGAAGAGCCTGGGGGATAAAGCGCAGCCCTGTGGAACCCCACAGCTTAGCTGCCAAGGCACAGAGCAATAAATCACCAGCACCACCTTCTGGACTCAGCCATCCGAGCAGGAGCAGGACCACTGCAGTGTCTCCAGCTCCCAAGCTGAACAGCCTGTTCAGCAGGATGCAACAAAATACATGCATTCCTGGCAGAAGAGTCCGGGCTGAGTTTCTGCCACCTAAAATGCAGTTAGCAAGCCTTGGAAATGTCTTGGAAAGCTACATCCGGTCAGAGATGATTCCAGGTGAGAGATGAGCCAGTGAGCCAACCTAGGAGAGCTCTCCTATTAGGTAGGGTGGAGCAGCTGCCTCAGGCAGCAGATGACGAGCAAAGCAGCGACTCCCTACCAATCCCTGGCCCCCCTAAGCTACTGTGCCCTTCTCCCACTAAGCTGCCACCCAGTGCAGGGAAGTAAGTTGTCCCTTCCATACTCGTGAAGTCCAGAGCACACTATCGGTAGACGGGTCGGGAGGTCCTTCTTGTCCTTTGCCTTTTGCAGCAAAGTATCTTTGGGCCAGCCCTGGTTTAACGTGACAGCGTCATGTACTCCAACTGTTGTCCTACCAGCATTTCTCCACCATTAGAATGATGCCGCTAAGAAAGAGCATGCACGCAAACAAACTTTGGGGATCGATATTTTATACCAACTCACTGTGTCCCTGACTTTGGAAAGCATGGAGCAGGCATGGGGTGGAGTGTGGGGTGGGGGGGGGCATGGAAAGGCTCCAGCCAGTCAAGGTAATGAAAGCGCCTTGTAACGCCTTGTTATTTCTGCAGAGGAAATTAACCAGTTGCTAATAACAGTATGGTCCCTAGGCCAGACGGTCGCTTTGAAAAGTTAACATGTACTCTCTTTCAGTTCCTAGTAGGGGGTAAACAAATGCCAGAGCAAATACACATAAGCACAAAAGTGGAGAATAGCAGTTCTGTGTCTTAGATCGAGATAGGACGGGTGGCCATTGTTATTTAGATGGAACATACTGGAGCACTTATCTTTTAGTACACTCCATTTTCGAACTGAATGCAGCCCTAATCGCAGGATTGAAAGCTATTGTAATTGTGCACCCTTCTAAATGCTGACAAGAATATACAATTACATTGTTTGGAACCGAGTTTAATGTCCCCTGGGTTGTATTAGCATTTGTATTTTACTTATGCATTTAAAAATCTACAGAAAAAACAAGGTCAGAATGTAAGAGTTATAAATATTGAACTCATCCACACTTTCCCTCCCTCCTTTCCTCTTCCTCTTCCTCTCTCTGCATACATATTCCCTGAAAATTCTGGAGAGGATATACATATGAAATAAATGCATAATGGGCCCTCGTGTACTGTCCCTTGAATTGTGGCAAGGAGGAATCCTGGACTCTAGACCTTGGTCAGCTTTAGCAGGATTATTCTTCTGCCTTAGGGATGCAGACCTAATTAGGGTGTTTACCCAGGTGACTTTTAGATAGAAGTAGGGGTCTCCAACCTATTTGACTGGGTGAGCCCATACGAGTATGGAATAGAGAGTGGGTCTTGTAGGTGCTTTCACAAAATGCCCACCATGGGGAGACTTGCCCAATTATCAAATAGTTGCCATGCTAGGAATGCTAGTCTAGAAACTGGGGATATTTCTAAGTAATCAAAGTCCACCAGTGTCAGGATCTAGTTTTCCTGCTTTGCACTCTCAAGACAACTGACCATTCTTTGGTAAAGGTTCTTTATTCTCCAGTGTACATCCTGTAAAGATCACCAGCAAGGAAAGAGTTTCTGAGCATGCAGAAAATGGTTTGTTGAACTCAAACTACTTCTGAGAATTCTCCTTCTGAGTAATCCTAGGTGCCACCCCTCTGAAGGTGGGCAAGTCTCTTAGCCGTTCAGCGTCCCTCTAGCTGGCCGCCCCCTCCCTCCTGATGCTGCGCCATGGGGTCAAGAGCCATTCCAGGCTTGCTTGGTTCCTGGGGCTCCTATCCCACCCTTCCCAAAAGTTGCAGACTCCAACTATTCCCAGGATGTACACAGACACCTTCTACCTCTTCCACCCCAATGTCTGGAGGTGCCATTTATCAGGGCTCATCCTCCCCATTGAAAGAGTCTGCGTCGCCTTGGCCCTGAAACAACATGCCAAGAACAAGCTACCTCCTTCATCCCCAGTGGTCATAAAGATGGGGTCTGATCAGTAAACTGAAAAACCACCCACTGGAACCCAAACAAAGCTGGTGGGTGGTAGCAACCCACCCATTTGCAGTGTGTCCATCTACCTGTTACATATGCAAATTCTTAATGAAATAAAAATTACCAGGTTCAGGGAGCCTGGCGGGCACACTGGTGTCATGGACATGGTGGTGCAATGGTGCCCACAGCCGCCATGTTGGAGGTTCAAAGAGAAAATGGGTCTCTGAGTTCTAGCTCCTGGGGGGGCTATGGAGGGCAGCAGAGTCTTGCCCTCCTGGCCAACTTCTGGGTGCTTTGGTGACATTTGATTGACCACTGTGGGATGCAGGGTGTTGATTCCTTGATCTGATGGAAAATTATTCACTGGGTATGCCTATATCTGAGCATAGGTCTCCCTTCACTCTCCCAAGACTTCCAAAGCATTTATCATCCCCAAGTTTTCCTGGTATTTATATTATTATTTGTTTGCAATGTCTTTGTTGCCGGAAAGGAGGGGGAAAAGCTTGCCACAGTCTGCTTACCACCACACTATGTTTAAACACATTGTAAAGTGGATGTAATTGTAAACACACCGAGGGATATAATTACATGTAGCAGATTTAGGAGCTAATTCTTTGCCTTTTATTTTATTTTATTTTTCTCCCCCACTCTGCATTTTATCAACATAATTATATATATTTTTTGGACTGCAGACTAACAGCCTGAAATTGACAAGCATCCATTATAAGCAGAAACTTGTTCTCTAAATTGAAAAACAATACGCACCAGGTTTCAATGTGCCCATTGTCATATGGAATGGCTTTGTTCCGTAAGAGGAAAAAGCTAATGATTTTGAAACAGCAGGTGACAAAACACATTCTTTTTTCGCACTCTCCCCTCTTATCAGTTTGTTGATGAAGTCATTATGAACTAGGGTCTGTGATGGGGTAGCTCTTATTTTTAGCAGATAGACTTTTAATGAGTTCTATTGTGCCGTCAGTCATGTTGATTCACTCACATCTCTCTCTCTCTCTCTCTCTCTCTCTCTCTCTCTCTCTCTCTCTCTCTTTCCTCTTGATTCAGAAACCCCCAGTATTGAAAAGCTACTATCAAAAGATTGGAAAGACAAGCTTCTTGCCATGGGATCTGGGAACTTTGGAGAAATAAAAGGTAAACCCCATTCTTATCAATCCCAGGGATGTAGAAAAGATTAAAAAAAGCAAACCATTTAAAAAAGAAACAATTACTGTGATTTCAGTTGGCACAAATGAAGCCTGCAATCTTTTTGCTCGTTCTGCTTTGAACTTCTTCTCTAGAGAGGGGGATGGTGTCTTGGGGGCTGATCCTGCTCTTCTGAGCATCATAGAACTCAGTGGGGCCATTCCAGGTGAGATTGCAGTTTACCATCTTCAAGCTCCAGGAGAAATAATACCTTCAGGGGAAGCAGGAAACTGGGTACGTCCCTCAGCCAGATACACGAGTCTCCTGCCTGTTTCTGAAGGGCTATGTTACAGTGTACTAGAAGAGCTGCATCACTGCAGCGGTGAAGGAAGGTTAAAACAGGGCCCTGTGGGAGCTGCCGAATCCCCTCCGAGCAGCTCTTGCCCCTGTGATGCTTCCCTTATCCAGAAGATGGTGTTGCATTCCCTACTGCCCTGGATGAGGAGGTGCCCCAGGAGCAAAGCCACAGGTCTTCATGCTCTGCAAGGACACAGCCTCACTGACACACTGTGCCTTTGTTTCATTGACAAGGGACATGGGAAGCCGTCTTACACCGAGCCAAACCATCGACTTACTGACCTAGCATTGTCCGCACTGATTCACAGCAGCTCTAGAATTTCAGGGAGGCGTCGTTTCTGACCCAGACGTGCCCGCAGGATGGTTTTGCATGCAGAAACAGGCACAGTAGATAGGTCATTGGCTAACCCTGAATGGGGGATGCACTTTCATGTCGAGATATGCAATTTCACACTTTCAGATCTATAGTTAATCTACTAGTTACCCTTTGCAATTCACACATCTCCAAGACGGTGATGCATTGGTATAAAATGAGCTTCTTAGGGGGAAATGCATGGGAACACATCTCACACAGTAGTAAAAATAATGTTGAGATGCACTGTATTGGAAAAATTCTTTGCAAAAGCATGCATATGGCACAAAACTCCTTGCTCATGTGCAAAAATGCAAAGGTAAGGAGGAATGCATGTACGGACTTTTATATCTTAAAAAAAGGATCCCCAAGGTTTGGCACAAACCAAATTTAACCTGGAAACATGGGAAGCTAAGAGAAATCAGAATTGGCACATGTCTCCATCTCTGTATCAAATCCCCAGTGATCAACCTGGGCACCTATTCAAAATGTACAGCCCAGCTAGAAATTGGACTGTACTTTTCTCTCCCTCCTCCCTCCAATTCAGCATACTGAACAGTGGTTCTTTGTATTGAAACTCCAAACTGTAGGACATTGCGTTCTAAAAGCTAGAGAAAGATTCTTAGCTATGAGGATAGGGATGTATGAGAATTTCATGTTTGCAAATCCTGCAAACATGTCGCATTCACAACCCAAAATTTATATTCACACTTGAAAGCAAACTTTCAATGAGATCACATGAACTTTGAGGAAAAATCTAGAAAGCCCAGTGGACTCGGGTATGCCATCTACACCCATCTTGTTTCTTTAACTTCCACTGATGAACATCTACCTGTTATCTCAGGCTTTTAGAAAGCCTTCCATAAATACGTGGCTCAGAATTAAATGCATGAATCAAAAATAAAGGAAGAGCAACCTTTTCTGAGGCTTGTCCCATTTTGCTACCCATGACTATCAAAGAGAAAAAGCAAGACATGCCAGTTGGCAGAAAACCCCCATCACCCCTTCCCCACACCCTTGCCAGCCTACCAAAGAGCAGTTCCCCAATATATGTACATGTACGAATTAGAATTAAAGGCATAGATTAGGAATAAGGAAAGAGCATGGCATGGGCAACAGACCTGCTTGCATAGATTTGATGCTTTGCTTGAGAAGCAACCTCCACATTTTTCCTTCTGTTTTTCCCCTTATTCTTCTTTGGTTTGGCCCTTTCTAAAGTAAAAGTAGCTTCAGTATCGTGTGAGCATTAGTGGAGGTCTGATTCTGCTGTGTTAGCAAGACTTTCCTGTGTAGGAGTTAAGGCAGCTAAGCTCTGGTTTACCATTCTGAGTTCACCGCAATGGACGAAAGAAAGAAAGTTGCTTTGGCAGGTAGGATTCATTCATCCAAACTGTGTGTGATCCAGTTGAGGACTGGTTCTGTTGCAAAGTATCGTTTGATATGGAGTGATCTGACTGTTTTATCTGTAGTTTTTGGCGGATGATTCCTCATTCACATGAGCAAGTCGTGGCCTGGCACTAAACTCAGCGATCAAGATATATGCATGAAATAGGCCGTGCTTTTTTTTATTTGAGGCTAGTATAAAGAAGGTTGAGGTCAGTCGTACCTGCAAAATGCCCCCTCAGATCAGGAATACTTGAACTTGGTTTTCTTTAAAACCATTCATATTTCCAGAAGTCCTTTTCAAGATAGTAATGAAGCATTTCAGGATAACATTGTTTAGTTCAGAATTATCTTCCATTGACTTATGCCATTATATAGGAACTGTGTAGGAGATATATAGAGAGACTTTCCATCATTCTATGCAGGTTGATGAATAGAAAAGTCTGATTTAAAAAGAAAAGATGGCTAAAAATGTGCATCTCACCACCCCATAGACTGAAGTGAAGTTGCACATTTAGGGGGACAGGAGTGCTATAATTTGCACAAATTTTTGGAAATGCAAATTTGCACAAGTGCCAATTCACACAACAGCATACAAACAATTTGTGCGAAACCTGATCCCATCAGTAAGTGGATAACAGAAAGAAGGGTATCTGAACACAAATGGGATGGATTTAACCATGTCCATATATCTCTGCTAGTAAGTAGTTAGTAAATACTAACCTTAATTCCATAAAATCCAGAAATATCCTATATATAACAGCAAACTCCCTTTCTGTGGATCCATATGTAGCCAAAATCATGCCATCCATCTGCAAGAGAAGGCTATCAACAGGTTCAGAGGAACACCAAGTTAAGCTAAAGCATTAAAACTATTTGGGCACCCCACCCCAAAATGTTAGAGAACCAAAGGAATGAGGATGGAGCCTGCCTTGTAGGCGTGGAGTGTTGCCTGATTATTTGGAGTGGGGAAAATCAGCAAACAAGGGCGGGGGGAAATGGAATGGAATATTCTAGAAAAGGATGTAGCTGTGTGGCTGGAACCCTTCCACAATGCAGCCTTCAGTTGCAGGTCCTCTTTGAGACAAATTCATGTCTATTAAGTCTGAAATCTGAAGGTCTAGAATGGTATTGATTTGAGTTGGTAGTGGAGGGAAAGAATATGACCCATATTCCCCACCCCATGCCAGGACACCATTTCTGTCATGTTTCCTGCTACTAGGTGACATCTTGTGGTTTTCATTCAAAACTGTTCTTCTTCATCTCCAGAGAGGAAGCATTAATCCTTTCTTATGCCCCTCCTCCAATGAGGTATTGCCTGAAGCCAAGTCCGAGTGAGGGCAGGAGTGACAGGTGATATGCCCTGCCCTCACTCTATGTCTTCTAGACTTTAACTTTCTAAATTTCTCTTTATGGTATGACAGTATGGTTCTTGAGTAGAAATATTCTCCATGGGATGGAACACAGGTTGCCTCAATCATCTGATAATTCGCTGGCATAGCCAACTTCAGCACAAACACTATGTTTCCCTGTTCCCTTGGCCCTGGTTGGAGCCAAGCTATTAATCAGATCATGGATATGATGGTGAGGAATTATACATTCCAACTAGTAAGATTTGTTCCACGTGAATATATCCTTGAATGTACCCTACACTTCTAAGTCATGTGGGAATATCTCTATGGTGTCAGAACATGTATATGATATCTTTCTACAGGTTTTTAAGCTATGCCATTTTCCTCCTCAGAAGCAGTCTATGGCCTTCTGACACCATCTTAGAGGCCATGGATGGTTCTGAGTCCAGCCCCTGGGGACCTAGCTCCTTGCAGCCAGTGCGAAAAGAACCACACCAGCTGAGGTTACAGCTGAGCGTGGTGGGAAGGAGCATGCCAGGAGTTGCGGAAAGGAAGAAGCTTGGCTTGCAGGCTTTTGCTAAGTCCAACAGGCACCCCAGCCCCCTTCCTCGCCCTTCCCAGGACTAGATCCACACTGCCCAAACTGGCTGTTGGGAGGAAATACACTGACTGTGGCCACTTCCAAATACCTCTGCTCCAGATCCACAGATGGACAGGGGAGCCCAACCAGAGGACGCCTTGGCCCAAGGACCCATCAGTCCTAAAACCAGCCCTGTTGGTCGGTTACATAGAGACAAAACATGTGACGGAAGTGAAAGCGCAGCATTCGTTAGGGAAATTGGATGGCAGTGTCCTCTTCTCCATGCTTAGTGGTTAGGAGCACTTTTTAAAGGATCACCAATTGAGAAGTGAGGCTGCACGTGGAATGGGCCTGTTGCAGAAGAGATGGCAAAACAGCCAGGCCTTGTGTGCTCTCCCCCTACTGGAAGGCAGTCTTGGCCTCCTTCTCCCTTCTATGGCTCTTTCCCTTTCCTTGGATAAACTTGACAGTGGTTCCACTGTGAGCTGCTGACATGAAGGAAATGCTCAAGGCTTTTGGCCTTGCCTGGGGGATGCTGGGAAGGCAAAAACAGCGTCTCAGGGAAGGATTGGCCGACTGGCCTTGTAATGTGAAAGAGCAGGCCCTTGACTGGCATAATGTTATTTTTTTCCTCTTGTGTTTTGTGTTTGAATCTTCTGTCTTGGGATACAACCTGAGTTACTTGTGGAAAAGAACCAGATTTGCAGGGAAGCTACAAATCCAGTCAGGCTGATGGAGTGTTGGAAATTTTATTTATTTATTAAATTTCTATACTACCTATAAGCCCAAATGGCTCTCTGGGTGGTTGATGATTAATGGTGAAATACGATGAAATTCTCTATTTGGATTTGGAGTTCCTCTTTTATATTCAGCTTGTCTTGAACTTTCTGATTTTTCTTTTAAAAAGTTGGTGTAAAAAGCCATATACAGTGGTACCTCGGCTCATGAATGCCTCGGTTCACGACCAAATTGGGTCACGAACAAA